TCTCTCTCTCTCTCTCTCTCTCTCTCTCTGTCTCCCTCTCCCTCTCTCTCTCCACATTGATAACGAGCCATTCTCCCTGCTATAACCGGTTGGGCTCCGATGAGGCCCTGTTATTGCCGATAACTTTTAATAGAGACAAAGAGAAGGAAAAAAACGGGGATTTAAAAAATCCCAGTTATTACCGGATCCCTGTTATTACCGGGCCTGTTACATATATGGTTTCCACTGTATCTGAACTTTATTGTAAAAGATTAACCACGAAGTAAAAATAGCTTTTAGAACCCTCAATTTATTTGTGCAATGGGACGATTATTTTAGTTGTCACATAGATTCTATATCCTATATAAATGGTTCTATGAACTTTTCAATGATTCGGCAATGCTCGGATATCAAAATTTTTATCCCTCTTGGTCCTTAAATTCTTGCCACTCATTTGTTAGGCTAAAGCTCTCATGTAAGTTATTCTTGTCCTACCCTTATTTTAAGTTCTTGGTCTACCTCTGTCTCTTTTTCGTTCCATTAAAAAAAAAAAAGAGAAGCAAATTGTCAAAGCTTGTCCATATCAAGAAAGCAAAACACCCGTACCCCCCGCCCCCACCCCCTTTTCCCTGGCTACGAGCATGTTTTAGGATACAGTACAGGAGTAGCCTGCTAGGCCTTGGTACTGGCGCATATAATAAAGATCGTAGTGTATTGTAGGTTGACGTTACGGATAAGAATAAGAGTTAGGACTGAGACTGTATTTTTAGGGATACGTGTGTTTGAAACAATCGTGGTTTTATGGAAGGGACCAGTTATCCAGAAAATAATTGAGCGAGGAGCAGGGTATGAAAAATGGAAGCAGGACAATACATTGTTTGTACATGTAGATCTAGTAGACTGGCTTGGCCTACATAATATACCGGTAGATTTACCAAAGTATACCATGTAAGTCCACCAGGAGGGCGGAGCACGTACTCCTGTCTGATCACGCTGTTTGGATTTTTTTGAGTTAAAGATCTACTCAAACCACATTTAAAGGGAAAGCAATTGGGGTTGTTGATAGTTTTGAGAGGAACTAGCGAAAACCTGAGCAAAAATATGTGAGAATAGGAGTACTAGGCCTGTGATACTGCCAAAAACTGCCATAGAAGCTGCAGCGTGAAGAAACCAACATTATTGATTGACCTGAGTCAAGGTTCAGAGGTTACGGTTTGTTCCATTTTCTACATTTCTCCCTTTACCGAACTGACTGTTGAAGTGACAACGCCTGGAATGGTTGCCTATATCGTTATGCTTTTATCAAATGTTACAACGGAAGTTTAGAATGTGATTTCAAACAACAACCAGTGACACAAAAGTATGTGAAGGAGAATGACATATTTTGATCGATCTAGGCTAATAATGCGACGCTTAGACTAGAGCCGATGTGTATGTGTAGATGCTTTGCCTACACTACACATTATAATATTAATCCGCGGCTTCGACACACGCTTGCCAACACGGTAATAGCATGCTTCATTTACAACACGGTCATTGTAAATATGAGAATATTGCCCTACATTTGTTGATTTGACTATTGTTAGTTGTTTAAACGATGTTCAACTGTTCTTTTCATCTTTCTGTACCAGACATGACGGTGACAACAGAGTCTACCATTCAGTACGTTTACAAAGTGATGACAAACCGAATAACATACGAGTGACACGATGCAAATGCGCACATGACAAAATAAATGTTAACCTTCAATTTAGATTTTGGTTTTAAATTGTCAAAAAATTATAAAAAATTATGTTTTTAGTGGTTTTTCACTTTGGATTTTGCGCTAAAAGAATAAAGAAATGACTAATTTATCTAAAGAAATTGACCAATGACCCGGAAATGAAAATAGGGAAACAATCTCAAGTCACGTGCCTCCCCACAACCAATCAGTGTCTATTATTATGGAAGCAGAAGCGGTCAAATCTCACGCTCGTGTGCTGTTTCGTTGTGGTTGTTCATATTTTATTCTTTCAGGTATTGCGATCAAGAGGTGCAGATGCCCCATTCTGACAAAATTTATGTAAACTGAGTTTGTCTCTAAGTAAGTACTCTTCATAGATTCTGATTTTTTGGTTATACACTTTGTTTTTGACGTATGTTCATACTGTGTCCCAAGACTGACTTGTCTAGTTTTAGTGTGTACTATCTCCGATGCCTTCTTGTCGATACCGAGCACTGAGCAAGGTAGGGAAGGTATGCCTCCCTTCACAATCTCCGTGGTGTTTGTGTTGAACTAATAGCCTTCTTAAATTTCTTTCACTACATTTTGATAAGAACTTCTCTTATTCTCCATAACTCATTAGTACTGGTTCTTGAATGACAGTATTGACAGAATACCAGACTGTTGGTTTTTTTGGTTTCCCCCATTGAAGTACCATTATTTCTCTACAACCGTAGCATAGTTGTTCACCCCCGTTTTTGAATAGTGAACTCGGCGACAACACATAGTTTACTCTCCTCTTGTCGCAGTCGTCGGTAAGTGTGTAATTTTCGCTCTCTTCCGTCAGCTATTGGGTGGTAAGATTCAACGCAACGCACACACAGGTTGCATTTTGCAGGTCTTGGCTGTCTACGCTGATCGTGTTTTTTTGTGTTGTGATGAACCCGTTGAGTCTAAGTGCAAGTCCAATTTGTTTACGGGTAAAATAGTGTGTTTTGTGAGTCGATTAAAAGATAAGCGAGGTAAATAATGGCGTAGATCAAGAAAGAATGCCGATCGTTATTATTATTATTATTAGTTCAGAGGTTTCAACGAAACGGCTTCCGCCGTGCTCATGACTTTCAAACACAGACGCAAGTACTGCTATCATTTCACACATGGGACAAGACTTAAATTGTATTTGTAATCTGTGGATCAATGATGTTTGACTTTTTCTCGTAGAAGTTTGTGGTTTCTGACCCAGTCTCATCATTTTGTTACTTGATTCAGCGGGATAGGAAAATCTTTAACTTGACTTAGAGATCTAGAATCTATCTATCTAGACTAGATCTAGATCTAGCTTAGAAATTGACAAGGAAGATAGAAAACGTAGGCCTAACCTAAGTCCAGCTTTTCTGGTTTCTCCCTTGGCCCTTGACACTAACAACAGCAAGTGTATAACTGAAGTTGTATAACTGTGTGAACTTTTTAAAGGAAGTGTTTAGACAGTTTTTGTTCACATTGAGTAGCCTAATTATGTGATGGTTAAGTTGATTCTTGTTTCAGTATCATTTAGAGCAAGGATAAGGCCTCTGCTTAAATGTATGATGCGTGGTAGGGCTGCTTAGTGTGCGTTTACATGGAGTTTGTTGATCACCCCTTTGCGCTCATGTATGACCTTACAGTTGCGAGCCCCGTAAAACCCTCTACTATTAACCCCCCCCCAAAAAAAAAACTGAAAAGTCAGAAAAGGGGGAAAAGTACAAAAGTAAGCAACCAGTAAAATTTTACTTTCACAGCCACTTGCTGTGCAAGCAACGAAAACTGCTGCAAATCTATTGTTTTCAAGAAAATATAAAACCTGATTGCAAGTAAGCTTAATCAAATTATGGTGAAAAACAGGGGTGTGTGTGCCCCCTTTCCTTAATATCCCAGATTTAATTAAGGTCATGGGACCATGCCTCTTCCCCCCCTTCCTCCCCTGAAAACACACAATTTGTTAAAAACAAGTGGAATATAACTGCGCTCCATATTGTGTTGCGAACACATGAATAAGTTATAGATCTACTCCCCTCTCATAAGTTGAATCAGTCTTAACGAGTAGTTAAACACATCCCGGGGTTCGAAAGGTCAATTTCCGAATGTTTTGCATTCAAATTCTTCTTTTTACCTGCTCAGTGGTATTCAAAACTTTTTAACTATCCATAAACTTAATTTCATCAGGTAATATCATTTTGCATAAATTTAAGCTCATTTGAAAGATTTTGTACAAGTAAAATGGAAGTCTTGTTTCCTGGCTATCCTTTCGAGCTCCTCATGTCTAAGTGGGTAAATTTTTCCTCTAATTTCATTGGACAAACATTTAGAGCTACCAACTTGACGTGTTTTGAATGAGACGCATCGGTGTAGAACCAAAACAGAATATTCTAAAAGTAGGCCACAAACGCACACAAAGTCAAGCAGACAGACGCGCGCACACACATAAGCTGTGGGAATACGGGACCCTGTCATCACCTGGATGATGCTCAGTGTACGTGCGCTGAGCCAGGGGCTGGACTGGTGCGGGACCGAATGGAAGACGAGGTGCCGAAATACGCTTATAATATTTTTGGGAACATAAATCCGGCACTTGTAGGACAGGAGTTAGAGAGACACACACAAAGAGAGAGGCGTGCGTAAGGGGAAGTTCACGAACGCAGAACACCGAGCACACATACTCACCGATGTTAAAGAGCTCCAATTTACTCGGTGGCAATTGACGCCGTCACCGCGACACTCAATGGCTATTGACATTACCCTATAATATAGTTGGTATAAAAACCATTAATAACTCAGAAAGTAATGATTTGCCATGGAAATGAAGGTCTGCTGACAAAACTAAACTAGAAAGAGGTAACATGGAATATGGACTTGAGAGGGGCCCATGGCCCATAAGTAAAATAACATCAAACAGCCATCTCATTTTCTTGATATTTTAATGATTACTGTTTCCTCCCTTTGGGAAGTGGGGGCTTGCTTTCACTGATAATTTTATGGTTTTATTAGGGATTCCCCGATTGTGGTTCCATCTACAAAGGCGTTGAATGAGTGGTGGAAAAAAGCAGAAGTACCAACTCACTTCTGTACTGAGTACATTAACAATATCAGAAACAGATAAACAGATTCATGTTGATAAAAGTCATAGGGAAGAGTGCTCAGCTACTCGGCTTTCCAAGCGACCACTCTCAATTTACCTGTCATCTATTGCCACTCTGTAAATGCTTGAATAACATCAGACATTCTGCGGAACTTTTTTCTTGCAATTTTTTTAACGAGTATGCTCTTTGAGTACAGAAACTCTTGCCAAGATCTCGAGTCCTATAGGCTGGTGGTTGGTCGGTGCTCTGGTGTAGTTTGCTTCCTTTTTCCTATCAGATATCTATCGTCCTTATTTTTCCTTCTTCTTTTTTGTGTTTGTTACTCTCCTTTAACACCTAATTTTTGGCACTTTATATAGAAGGAAAAGAAATCAAATGAGGTAGTGCTTGATAAAGCCCACATGGGACGCTTAATGTTAAAAACAATCAGGAAACGACAAATGCAGTTTTTGGGACACCTGATTAGACATTTTATAAGGGTCTTGAACATCTAGCTCTCACTGGCAAAATTGAAGGCAAACGAGGCAGGGGTAGGCCCAGAACAACATACTTAGGGAACCTAAACAAATGGGTAACAGGGAAAGATCAGGGAAGCGTAGCTTTTTTGATAGCTTCCAAGCAAAGGAATGAATGGAAAACCATGATCGCCGATGATGATATGACCTTATTGTGTTTCAAGTGCCTTAAAACTCGTTTTACTAAAATAGCCAATGAAGTGATCAATAGCATTCACAGGTATTGCATATCATCAGTTCAAATATGTTAATGCCCAAACACCAGTGAGAAATCTCTTCGAAGATGCATTTTTAAAGGCCATGCGCCAATGAAATGATATATTTCAGTTACACTTACACAGAAATGACATTTCAGTTACACACTCGCGCGCACGCACGCACGCACGCACGCACCAAAAGAAAATTTGAAACCCCCCCCCAACAAACCCCAAACATAACTTGTCCAGTCCTATGTGTCTGAAGAGCGTGAACAAGCTGTCCAACACTTTCATTGTGCTGCACAAGAAGCAGTCTTGCCAATTGTCCGGTTGTCTTGACTTGCTTTTGTTATCCTGATGCACGATGTTTAGGCTGTGTTGCAAAAATGTCCTTTTGTAGCGCTTAACTGGTTGGCGCGCTCTGAGGATCGAAATGAAGGTCTTGAGAAGAAATAACTGTGTGTTTGATCTATATAGGACGAAAGCATGCATTTAATTTGAGTGTGCCTTTGTTTAGGGTACATTTGGGGCTGATGGAGACTAATGTTCAATCGTTACAAGTTACATTGAATGTAAGGTATATTTTGTAAAGTTTATTTAAACTAGGCAACACTGGCAACAGAATTAAAAAAGTGGCCCATGGACCACACATGTGATATAGGTTGAGCAGTTTTTGTTTCAGAGGATAAGTCCTCTGTCCTCTTGCAGAACTAGAACATTTTTGAAAATAAGAGGTGGGGACAGTGTTTAGAGAAATTACTTTTTGATAATCCCGCAACGCTCCCTCGCTCATCCTTAAGTTTCCAATACCCCGTGTCTATCTTGCCTCCTTCTGTCATTTTGCCCTCGTCAAAATGTGCGCTTTAAAGTAGCCGATATTTATAGATATTTATCAATGAGTTAAAACTTTTGGGTAGTATTTAAGTATGGAATGGCTCTCTACTGTTTCTCAACATATTGAATATAATAGGTCTTGTGGAATTTCTCTTGTCAGTCTGCAGGAAAATGTGCTTTAATTCATTTTCTAGCATTACAAAAAAAATCTAAAAATGATGTGTGTTAGCGGTCTGGTTATTCTAAATTATGTGTTTTAAACAGAAGTGAAAATCTGATGTTTTGGTAGGTCTGATGCTCTAATGCTAATAAAGTAAATAAAGGTAAATTTCTTTTTCGATATGTTGTTTCCCTGCATTGTCAAACTTTTTAAGACTGCAGCAGTGTGGTTGGGCGTTCACTAGATGTAACATAAAAAAGAAATTACAAAAGAGAAAGGTACTGAGCACAACTCAGTTTTGATATGGTAATCTTTTTTATATTTTATACATTTTTAGAAAGAATTGTTGATACTTGGGTTTATGATTTATGCTTACTAAACATATATTGCTTGTTTCTGATATTTCCGCCTGTCAGGATCAGCACCAGTGGTTTTGGCAAGCTTTTTTGTTCAAATTCTTTACCATGCTTTACCTGAAAACTATTGAAATATTTTTATCTCATATTCCTTGAAAGTTTTAAGGGGAGGAGCGACCCTTGATTTTGCAGATTTTTGGTCAGGCTATGCAAATTTTCTGTTGCTGATTTTTGAAGATCAACCAGTTTTTTGTCCTAAAATAGCATGGATACATTGGAGAAAGTGTTTATTCTCCACGTAAATTGACTTTGAAAACATGACGATGAGTTAATATAGTGAATTTTCACAATAATAGTCAGTTTTCGAAAAATGTAATTTTTTTGCCGTTTTTTCCCTACTCCTTCCATAGTTTTCATCATTTTGAGATGAAACTTTCAGGAGACATAGATGGCAAGGCTGCCATTAATGTAACAGAGATATTTGCGAAAACAATAACACTTTTCCATTGGCAAGCGGTTACGCAACCTAAATTTTTAAAAAGTTTTTTATACTTTGGGAAAATTCTCATATATTTTTTTCTTTTCAACTTATTGAAATAAGCTTGCTGTTACTCTGATAGGGTCTGGTTCAGGTATACTCTCACCAAATGTGGTCAATCGGTAAATAAGAAAGCCTTAGGGATTTGAAATTCATTGTCTATTTTAAAGATGGCAGCCGTTTCCATAGCAACCGCTGTTGCTATCCCAAAATAAAATGGCGTATCAAGAGATTTTACTATGCCTAACTTAAATGTGTACTTAGATTTGATCTTGGGCATCAGACATAGAAAATGGTCCTCAAGGGCAGCTCCTCCCGTTAATAAGCTTTACAGCACTCGCAACACAAATAGGTCATATATATAAGTGCATAAGATTTGAGGTGTTACTGGAAAGTAAAATACAAAGAAAAAAAGGATAGGAGAAATACAAGGTCGATTGCTGCTTAATAGGAAAGAGGGAGCAAACTATACCAGAGCGTCTTCCAACCACCCACTCCAGGTGTTTAATTTTTGTCACTCCACCCCACCCTCTCCAGTAAATTACTGATGAGCAAGAGTAAACCAGGTGGAGGTGGTGGCGACCGAAAGGGCGAGGGAGTGAGAGAAGGCGATGCTCCGCGACTGATCTCTTCGCAGGCAGTCACGGCGGGTGTTCCCACCCCCAGGCCCACGCTCGCCGTCGGGGGGCCTGGCCACACCTTCATTGTGCAACCCCAGCATGGGAGCCAGCACCACGACGTGAAAAACTTTGCAGCGGTGAGCAAGTTTTGCTGATCATTTGAGGTCTCATTTCGTGTAGTAGTCGTGACGTCATCTGTATTTCTGATGAATATGAAAGTTTGTTCTCATTTATTTTTATTATGCCTGTAACATGGGTTTGGCAAATGTATGCTTCTTTGGAAAATCTGCCGACCAAATTTGTATGCTTGTATGCAATTGCTAATACATTGTTCATAATTAAATCTTTATTGCTGAGACAATTCGTCGCCTCAGAACTATTTTGTCCCAAGTGTACTTAAGTAAAGAGGCATGTTGGACCAAATAGTTCTTTAATTTGTCAAAGAATAGGAGAGAGAGAGAAAGAGGGGGAAAAGTATTATAGCAGACTGACCTTTTTCCCTCCACAGAAGCTGACGCGCCCCATAGCCCCAGCTCCTCCCACCCAGGCAGCTCCAACTATTGTAGGGAGGACTGTGCAGTCTTCCCAACCGAATATTCCAAGCATCATTTCTTCTTGTGAGTTTCCAGTTTATTGATATTTGGATTATCTTACCTTATAAATTTGATTATTTTTTGGGGTGCAAGTTGGTATGGTTTTGTTATTGGGTGGGGGAGAGAATGTGGTATAGTTCCTTTTGGGGGGAGGGGGGTTGTTGTTTGTCGCATCCATTGATTGAATTATCACATTTATATATTCACTTTTGTTTTCTCATTTTAATAGAACTTAATAGATATTTGGAGATTGGCAGATAAAGGGTGTGTTGAAAATGTTTTTTCTGGATTATGAGATGATTTGACTGTGCATTGAGAACAAGAAAATGGTACAGATCTCTACTCCTCTTTTTCTCACCTTCTGTCTCTCTTTCTCCTCCTCCTCCTCCTCTCTCTCTTTCTCTCTCTCTCTCTCTCTCTCTCTCCACCCCTCTCACCCCCCCTCTCTCTCCTTAACTCTCTTTCCCCACCCCCACCAAATCACCCCTCCCCTCAATACCAGTAAAAGTGAATAAGCAAGAGATGAGGACTGTATTTTTTTGGTTCCCTTCCCCCTCCCGTCCCCCCCAGCAGTAGGTCGCAGTCCCACGGAGGGTCTAGTCAGCCTGAACCTGGTGAGCACCACAGGGACCAGTGGCCTGGGCACCATCACCCACACCCCCATCACCGTGCCCGTCACCCTGCCACAGGCCAACGTCTTGCAGCTAGGCTCCAGTGCCGGCGCAGTTTCTGGTACCTCCACCGTGGTGCCGCAGGGCATCCCGGGTTCGATTCCCATCAACATGCTGAGAGGGGCGGGGACTGGGCAGCAGCCTCAGCCTCAGATTCAGGCGTTTGCCTCAAATTTCCAGACTCACCTGCCCAGAGGTAAGTTCTCTCTTTTGACACTTTGTGGTCACTTGGCGCTATGATGTGCTGCGCCAGGCCCGAGAAGTTCATTGCAGTCACTCTCTTGGTTGGGTGACCAGATGGGGTATTTTGCTCTGTTGGCTGTGTGGCTGCAAATTAATTATTGTTAGCAGTAGTAGTTGGAGTTCTATATCACTAGCTGTTAAAATATATTAAGCTCCCAATTTAAAAAAAAAATTTCAGTTTCTTAATCTGTGGTATTGGTTGCGTGTGGATTATCTTTTCATTTTTATACTAGGCTCTACTTTGAGAGATGAAAATAATAGTCTAACATGCATATATAACGAAATCAGTAGGATGTGGAAATCATTTCATTGTGTAAGAATTATGCAGTATACATGTTTTGAATACGAAGAATGTACGTGTATAATAACAAGTTCTGGACCTGAAAGTCTGTTAGATGTATGCTCCTTTTGCTATTTGGCCACTAGATTGTAGTGGGACCTATTTCATCTGTTGACATTTGTGTTAGATTTTGTGCTCATGCTAGAGTTCTATATTTAGATAGTAGTAAGAAAGAGAATGAAGAATCGATAAGTTGGAATTACGAAAATGGGTTTCATGGTTTAGTTACTTAAGCTTATATCAGTGGCTCAGTTGTGTCTGTTGATGTAAAGCTGCAGGTGGATCCGGCTGAGCCGCTGTGTTAGGGTGGATACAAAGACATAAATTATAATATCCTTGACCGGGCTCTTTCATGGCTGCAGCTCTTTGCTCTCTCTAAAAACTTGGTTGCGCTGGTTTGCGCTGTGGGCGCACAAAAAGGGGAAAACGTAAGGCTGACTATTTGTGCACGTTCGCAACCTTTCTCCTCTCTACCCTTCATTTGGTTACAAAAGGAGCCAAATAGTGTGTCCACAATGAACCAGGATTCCATGGAGAGCGCACAGTTGTGGATATTATAATACAAGTCTTTATAGTACCGGTGCCGCAGTTGCACGCTGTCGCTGAACGCAGCAGGGTTTTTCTCCATCATAGGTACCACCACCCTGTCGGTGCCCAAGTCGCCGGCCATCTTGCGCCAAGGCGCCTCGGCCAGTCTACAAATCCCCACCCCAGGCCTGAGCGCCGCGGTCAACCTGCCCATGGCCCGGCAGCCCATGCTGCAGACGAAGACCAGCACGCCGCAGGCCACACGCTCCCCGTCCCCGGCCATCGGGGGTCAGCCCGTGCCCCAGGCCCAGCCTCAGGACTTGTCCAGGTGAGTGTGTAGTTTGTGGGTCTGTCCAGGTCAGTGTGTAGTTTGTGGGTCTGTCCAGGTCAGTGTGTAGTTTATGGGTCTGTCCAGGTCAGTGTGTTGGATCTGTCCAGGCGTGTAGTTTGTGGGTCTGTCCAGATGTGTGTGTAGTTTGTGGGGTCTGTCCTGGTGAGTGTGTAGTTTGTGGGGTCTGTCCATGTGTGTAGTTTTGGGTGTGTTCAGGTGGGTGTGTAGTTTGTAGGTCTGTCCAGATGTGTGTGTACTTTGTGGGGTCTGTCCAGGTGAGTGTAGTTTGTCGGTGTGTCCAGGTGTGTGTGTTTAGTTTTTGGGTCTGCCCTTGTGCGTAGTTTCTGGGTCTGGTGCTATTGCATTGGAACATATGACACAGGGCAACTCATTGCGAAATTAAAATGCTTGTGACAATTCAAATGGGCAAGAATTTATTTGTTTGCTGTATAACTCATTTATTATACACAGTCATTGTTATTCCACAATCGAGCATGTCAATTTTTTTAGGTTTCTCGGCGATTATGTGTTCAAATGAAAAATCGTCTGTACTGAAGTAATGGATCTTATTTGGGCCTTTTATTTCTGTGTAATTTTCTCAAAAGTAAAAAAAAAGAGACTTGGGAGGTTGGCGGGTGCTCTGGTGTGATTTGCTCCTTCTTTCCCATCTGTCGTCCTGATCTCTCCTCCTTTTTTATGTTTGTTACTCTTTTGTAACACCTCTAATCTTCGGCACTTATATGACCTTATTGGGTTGCAAGTACCGTAAAACTCTTAAAACTAAAAGAAATTACTTGTTTGTGGAATGACACAGAGTCTCTGCGGGTTCAGTCGGGAGTGTTGTTGTCATGTCCAAGTTGTTTGATCCCCAGAGCCAGTTTCCCCCTCCATGGCTCCATCGCTCCGGTGACCTCGGGGAACCCCGGCCCCCAGCTCCCCATGCACATCACGCTGAACCGCATGGGCACGCCCGTGGCACAGGACGGTCGCACCATTCCAGCGCAGGTCCCTACTGACGCAGCCACGGTCGCCAGCGCCACTGTCAGCCTCCAGCAGCGGATCAGTGTGTCTCTGTCCTCAGACACGGGCCTGCAGCAGCGGCTGGCGGCAGACATAGCCCGCTCCAACCTGACCTTCACCTCCCAGGCGGCCGCGGCCAAAATGAACCAGCAGCCGCTCGGCCCGCAGGCGAAAGTGATCTCCTCGCAGCCCCTGGCCCAGCATATGGCCGCCATGAAATCGGGTAAGTTTGCTCATGTCTGTGTTCTATATTCTGAACATGGGTCTCAATATTCCGCTATTTAGTGGATTTCCGCTACCGCCATTTCTTCCGCTAAACCACCACTTTCTGTACATAATCAAGATTGTAAATATTTGGTAAGTGACTCTTACTTGAAATTACCTTCCAAACCCTCTAAATGTGGGTGGTTGGTGGGTGCTCTGGTGTGGTTTGCTCCTTTTCCTATCAAACACCTATTGTCCTGATCTCTCCTCCTTCCTTTTCATATTTGTTACTCTCTTGTAACACATCTAATCTTCGGCACTAATATGACCTTATGGTGTTGCAAGTCCCGAAGACAACTTAAACTAAATATCCTCAGATTGGTATGAAATAACCTTGCTTTGATAAATTGATGGTTTTTAATAGCAATGACAATGAAAACTTTAATTTTCATCCAAATTGCTTAAAAATGGACTCAAATGAAAATAGAGTAAATTCTAAGAACTATGGTTTTTAAAAATTAAAAATCCATTGATAAATAAAAAAGTTATTGGGATTTTTGTTTGCAAAATGTTGGAGGACCTTCATATAGGAAAAAATCGCCAAAATGTGGGACATGTTTTGGTGTATTTTGAGGAAAAACTGTTCATAAGTCAGTAATGAATTGGAGCATATGAATGAAACTTGGCATCTCCATGTGATTTTTAGTGCCGAATCTAGTTCTGCTATCACTTTTTCGTTGTCTTCATTACTTTGGATCTTAAAGACTGATATTTGCGTGAAATTTGTTGAATTGCGTGACATCGTTTTTACCGCGACGCGATCACCCCTTCTAAAACTCAGTAAAGCGCTATCGGGAAAACCCGCGATGTAGTCATCGGTGACCCATTTGGTTATAGGCAGCCAATCACATGCCGCCTAGCGATCACGCGCCTCTTGCGTGCCGGCACCTCGCGTTTGGAATGCGCTATCAAGTTTCTAGATCTAGGGTTTTATCAATGGATGGGTGGTAATTTTAAGTTGGTACGGAAAATCTACTAAACGCAGAGATCTAAAATTTTACAGCAATAAAGAAGACATGTGGGGCGCTTGTGTGGTCGGCGATCAACCCGCAGCTCCGCTTAGTTTTCGAACCGCAGAGGAAATTCGCACAAACGCGGCAATATCTCCGGTTCTAGTAATCATTCGGGATTGAACGCTGGCATGTCGTTAGTTTAACCTTTCTTCTGGTTGGTTGCCGAGTTTCATTTATTTTCGTCCAGGAGTTTTCCCGTAACTAAACTTAGAAGAGAGTCACTTCTGATTCCGAGCGGCCCTAAAAATACCCCTCGCGCGGAGGCCGATTTCCGGCACAAGGCGCAGCGGGCGATTGGCATTGCTATTTTTATTTCAGCATTCTTGGGTTACACAGTGTAATGATAATGGGTGTCTCGCGAAAATGGTCTTCTGTCACGATCTCACTCAAAGTTCCTCTTTTTTTAAAATTCCAAGTTGAGATCAATGGCTATATTACCATGTAGGCCCGTAGGTTTGGACATGTCTCTATCCTATATCGCCATGAAGTCGGGAAGGTGTGGTCTTGTCCATCTCGATATCTTATATCGCCATGAAGTCAGATAGGTTTGGTCATGAGTATAGGAATCCTGAGCACAGGGCTCAATGTATTATTTGCTGATGTAAAAGCAAGAAACCGTAATATTAAAATAATTGAGATGATGTGAATAATGCACAAAAAGAAAAAAAGAAAAACAATGCACACACAATGAAAATGATAGCCCCTACTGGGTGAGTAAAGTAAGTGCTCCTGTAATTACTCGAGAACTCTTAGGTTTTGGGCTTGAGTGAGTATGTAAAAATAACTGGAGTAAGTACTCAGAGGGGCTAAATACTAGAGTGGGTGTGAGTACATGTACACCCTTGGTTTTGAGGGCTCCAGTTGTTTACTTTCCCTCTGTTGTTTTTGTCAGTCTGTTTTGCTTTTTCTCAGTTGTAAGTAGCCGTTAACTTCTTTTTAAAAATTGGTCATTGTTAATATGAAGTCTTGATAGCTTTCGGCTCACATATTAACAAAAATAGTCACAGGAAGAGGTAATTTTGTTCTGTGAAAGATGACTTTGGAAAAAATTCTGTGTGGGTGGTTGGCAGGTGCTCTGGTGTGGTTTGCTCCTCCTTTCCTATCGAATATCTATCATCTTTATCCCCCCCCCTTCTTTTTTGTGTTTGCTACTCTCTTGTAACACTTCTAATCTTCGGCACTTATACGACTTTATTGTGTTGCAAGTGCTGTAGAACTCTTACGAAAAATCCCCCAAAAAGCTTCTCTTTTAAAATTGATCATTGTTGATATGAGGTTTTGATAGCTTTCGGCTCAAATGGTAACAATAGTAATCACAGGAAGAAGTAATTTTGTTCTGTGAAAGGTGACTTAAAAAAATTCTACTGTTTTGTATTTCAGTGAACCTTGCTGTGTCCACTCCAGTCATGATTAACTCCATCAACCCATCCATGGCCACCGCCACCACCACCATTGCCTCGTCCGCTCCAATTCCAATTGGTGAGTCTGCTGCAGTGTGTTTCTTCCTAGGTCTTGTAATGGGGAACTGACAGACAGACAGACACGCACACACATACTTGCGCTCGCATGCACACACACTGGACAGACACACAAACACACCACCCTGCTCCCCCCTTCACCCCATTTGAAAACAAAGGAATTACTGGTTGAATAAAAACTTAAGTTATGCTCACAATTTCGATGATGGCTGCCATATACCTTGTTGTCTCGGCATCTAGAGTCTCAAATGAAGAATGAATTAACATAACCTATTTTCTTCCTTGTTACTTATAAGTGTGAGACATTAGATGGATTTCCAGAAAGTTTTCAAGGTTTTAGAATCACCACCAATGACCCCAAGCTGCTGAAATGTTTCCAAAAAAAAAAAAAAAAAAAAGAATAAATTTTGTGCCATAATTTTGTAAAATGCCACTTGAAAGTCCCTAATTTATTTATTGGGAGGGTTCTTAATTTTGCATCAAAATCTCCCTTTTCAGTTGAGGTTAAGATTCTGAGGTGTTTTCAGCAACTAGTCTCAAATTAGTACTTTGAAGGCAGCTGTACTCAACAGTTTCGGAAGCCCTTTTTTTTTTTGGCTGTGCCTTGCTTTAATGTTTATCATGAAGTATAGGTGAACAGAATTAGGAAAGAAGATATGTGAGGCAGCGTGGTGGAATCAGGCTCTCGTCAAAATAATGAAATCGAAGAAAACAGCAGTTTTTTCCCTGCTTTAGCAATTTTTATCAAATTTCTGTTTTTTGGTTCAACACCTTTTATGTCCATTTACAAACACATTCCTTTGAGGATGTCACCGAAAACGTTGATTAAAGGTACAAAAATATATATTTACAGTTTCTAAGGACTCTCCAGCTTTGGAATTAACCAAGCTTTAGCGGCCATTTTCTCGCAAATTTTGCCTCTTAAATCAGGTGACTCCCACCTCCTTCAATCCAAAATATGTCCACTTCTGTTGAAGATGGATGGGTAATTTTTTCATTGAAAGCAAGCTTTAAGATGATACCAATAACTCAATATGCCCAAAAATTGACGAGAGCCTGATTCCACCACGCTGCCTCACATATTGCCTCCGCTTTCTACACTAGGGAGGTTGTCGTTTGCCACCCACAGTGCCAGTAAAAGTTGGTAATGTATTTTCTGTGAGTGGTTGGCGGGTTCTCTGATGTGGCTTGCTCCTTCTTTCCTATCAAACATCTGTCGTCCTTATCTCTCCTCTTTGGTTTGTTTGTTTGTTACTCTCTTGTAACACTGCTAATCTTCGGCTCTTCTATGACCTTATTGTGCTGCAAGTGCTCATATGACCTTATGCAGTTGCGAGCGCCGTAAAGCCTTACTAAAACTTAAAAAAAAAAAAAAGCAAGTGCTGTAAAAGTCTTTACTAAAGCTATAAAAAAGTTATTTTCTTTCTTTCTTTTGTCCTTGTGCAGCATCCCCATCCACGTTGCCAGCTGGCCACTCGTCCTCAGCTGTCGCGTCCCTGCAGTCATCCACATTGCCTCTTACAGCATCCTCCTCCTCATCATCGTCGTTGCCGTTGTCATCATCTACTGCGGCGACCTGCGACCCCGGCCTGGTGCGACAGGAGCAAGCAGTGGTCCCGTCCTCACAGACGCCCGCAGGGGGCATCATCATCTCTCCCGAGTTTCAGGTAAACCTGGCCATCCCTATGTGGTAGTTTTCGTTAAGCGCTTCACGGTACTTGCCACTGACTGAAGTGTCTTTAGGACATTCCCAAAGGGGGGATATTAACATTTCTTATGCTCAGTAGAAATGTAAATGGGCTGTTTCATCAATGTCATGCTCATAGTCATACTGTGGCGGAGCAACATAGGGGGAACTGCTTTTTCTTTCCTCGTCCGTATTATCGTCATTTTCCTCTACTTCTTTTGTATGTTGTCGCTCTCTTGTGTACGGCTTTTCATGGGTGCCTTGATAGTTGAAGCAGACTTTGTGCTGTTGAGGTGAGAAGAGTAAGCCTGATTTCCTGTATGAATTTCTCTGTTGACATCCACCCCTTGATGCTCATCTCACCTTATGCAGTTGTGAGCGCCGTAAAATCCTTCTAAAACCAGAGAAACAGGAGTGTGTTGTCAGTGGAGAAAGGAGGTGAAATATTCCAGTGTGTCCGTTTTGTCTCCACAGGCCAGGCCACCTGGTTCCATCATCACCATGACAACCCTGGCCTCCTCAGTACAAGGAGGGGCCACGCCCACTGTGATTTCTCATCCTGAAAATAGGTGAGTAGCTCGCTGCGCCATTTTTCGCCCGATTCTGTTAATTTTAGCAAGCGTGACTCAGCAGCCCGCCGGAACTCCCCGGCTTGGGGGTCAAGGGGTTAATGTGCCCTGAAGCGATTTTTCCGGTTTTGGTTAAGAAGTTTACATTTTGTCTACGTTTTAAACGATATAATTCTTCCCCATCCCATACAGCAAACCATTCCACTGATTTACTAAAAGCTCAATGTCTTGAGATTTATTCTACGTTTGAAAGGTTAATTTCTGTGCCTTAGTTTTTGTTCTAGACGAGTGTTTGTAGAGTACCCAATTTGTCCTATTTTAGTTACAAACTTATAAATAAATGATTGTTTATTTAAGAACAGTATGACAGATCTCTCCAAAATTTGTGTTAAACTGACTAGGAATATCGTATCTTTTACCATGAGAAATCTTACATCTGCGCAAGTAGTAATAGTCATGTTATAAGAGAAGAAAGATGCACATCTGCATTATTTAACTAAAGACAACTGGCGTTAGCTCTTGTTTTACCATTAACCCATTACACCCTAGCTCGCCCGGGATCGCCCGGGAATTCCCTTACGCGCTCCACCCTGACTCGCCTGGAACCGCCCGCGCCGACCCAGCGTCTTTAGAAACGAAAGTCTCGCCTTGACGAGACTCTGGGGCCGGGATTTTGATTTGCATAGTATAGCAAAAAGTTTCTTCTTTCGTTTGATACCGAAACGAAATTTTTCGGGCCAGTAGTTTTAGTATTAGAGCTGATCGAAGTGCGATCGCGTTACCGACACTTCGAAAGTGTCTCGACTTGTTGAAAAGCGACACAATTGAGTTCGAAAACGGAAATAACGATGGATTTGAGCAAAAATGAGCATGTGACAAATCAGATGGCTCAGATTTTGATGAAAACGTTGTAGGAAGAGTTTGGGGCGATTCCGATTGATCAGACGGAGAAAATCTAGAATTTAGACCTAGGGCCCGACCGCGAGGCTGAGAGTAAGAGTGACTGGTCGGACACCCCGATTGAACTAAAGTTAGAACATTTCCAACAGTTTGCGCATACATAAAGTTATATTTTTCTGAAACTACATTCAGTTTTCTTTTTAACTTTTATTTTTTCAGGATTTTTGGAATTTGTTTAGTATTTTTAAAATGTGTTTTTTAAAGGCTTGTATTCACAGGAGGTGGGTTCTTTCCCCTTGCTTAGGATCTAACAATGGACTTCCCGTCCAGGCCCTTAGGGTGTAATGTGTTAAACAAGAGAAAGTTACTCTGCATTTGTTCAGGAATCATGCTGTGTCTGTCGCAGCCTCCATGCAACTACTAAGAAAGATATATTATGCGATTACTTAAAAACAAAAAACTGTGTAAATACATGGGTAGAAATAAACTTCCTATTTGGAATAAATATAATAACAGATAATGCATTCATTCTTAGTTTTTGTGTTGGAAATATGCGGGGACACTTATGAATGTCAAGAAATCAGTTCGTCAGTTATTGCAAATGGCCATAGAAATGAAAATAAAAGCTGGAAAAGTCTGATGTTCCTTCAGGGTCACTGGAAAGCTAGAAATTATTCTTATAACCCAATTACGAGAAGTCATCCTGGTTATTCAGTCAACTTACTAAACCTAGACTTAGCGTTTTAAGAAAGTAAAGGATTTCTAGAGTGTAAAGATACTGTTCGTGAATGACATTGTAGATGTATAATAGCATAGATTGTGAAGCTCATAGAGCTTGCTGTTGAGCGGGGGTTTGCGCTATACAAATGCTATCTATTATTAGATGTATTCTGGCACTAAAGTTGATTTTTCGCAGAGAGACTTCATGGTAATTTTATTAGACTTTCGAGAAAATATGCAAATATTCACCGATATATTAGACACATAAAGTTGTATTTAGAGGAATTACTTTACAGTGAATTGTATGCCAGATGGATAATATTGCAAAATTACAGCTTCTATTATATGCGCTGATACCATCTTTTCTGAGTATCTGCACCATACCAATGTTATGGCGTTCATGTTCCAAAAGTTCGACAGTTTTTGTCGTGCCAGTTTATTTTTATATTGCCCTTTTTTTTTCTTTCACACTTATCCAATAAATTTTACAATTTAGCATGGCTGACTTCAGCGCTTCAAAGGAAATAACCAGACAAGTTACAATGTCCGTTCTGTATTGAGTCTTTACTGCAGAAATGAGTGCTTTAGGTGCATTGAATTATAATTACTATAAATACAAGGATACACCTAGAACTGTACGTTAAAAAGTATCCAAAATTAAGTGAGCCCAGACAGAATGGCGACAGGAACCCCCGCTGCAACTAAAATTCCACTGCCAGTGCGCAGTGAGCTGCCAGCCAGTACGCAAAAATTGTACTTAATACGTTTTTAGGGATGTAAGTACGAAAGTCCATTGGTGATACAATAAAGAATGAAAAGAACATTCACACTCAAAATTATGAGCAGTTTTAAGAAAGACAACGTTTTTTCCCTCTTTTTTGTGAAAATCATTGTTCTCTGACATGCGTAAGACAGCGAAGATTGTGTTTGAAGCGAAATCTGTGTTAGACACTTTTGCAAAGGCAAACTGTAAGTTGACTGTATTTTACAATATTTTGTGTTGGTGACTAGGTCAACAAGCCACAGCCAACAGCAGATTGGTATCGGACCAAGCGACCCGATGTGGTACCAGCACTTTGTCTACCAGCAGGGCACTCAGGCGCCCTTGGTCTCCCAGGCCACGTCCACCATCGTGCGACCGGGGACCAGCACCTTCGCCTTTTTACCTTCACAAGGCAACAAGTGTAAGTGGTCGGCTTGTCTAATGATGCTGTTATTCTTTTTTTAAAGTGTGTTTAAACACAACATTATCAGCAACTTTCAAGTGATTTTTCATAACAGTGGCTCCCAACTTCAAGTTGTATGCTTAATTGAGGTTTGGGGGGGGGGTTATAGAAGTTGCAGGATATAATTTAATTTCTAACTTTTTTATGGCATGTTGAAGTGTTTGATGATTATGTGTCAAAATAAATACTTTTTAATCCATTCGTAAGCTTGTTTGACAATTTTTTGAAACCATATAAAAAAAAAATTAGTCTTATCTTCTTTCTTTGTTCGACTCTGTAGCTGCACCCCTGATCTTTTGCACTTATGACTTTATTGTTTTTGCAAGTTCTATGAAAGTCTTACTAAAATGAAATAAAAACTGGTTGAATGAATGTGAAGAATATATCATTTACTGTGTTTCTGTTTTTTTGTGTTTGATCTGCCAGTACAAACCCCGACGTCCAACCTGACAGCGACGCAGCTGGCCCACCATGCCATGTCCGTGTCTTCTACGGCCGTCCGCTACAACACCAACATGATGGTCATGGACCAGATGAGACAGCAGCAGCAACAGCCGCAGCAACTACCGCTGCACTCAGGGTTCAGCACCAGCACAACCGCAACCTCCTCTGTCGGGGAAAAATTGGGTGAGTCGCAGAGATGATGAGACAATGCAGTCGAACCTGGTGTAATTGCCACCTGTTCAAGAGTATCACCTGTACAAATGACCGTTCCCACTCCCTGTGTTAGAAAAATGTAATGACACTGTCCAAGATGTCCACCTGTCTAAGACAACAACTTTTTTCCTTGACAAAGGATGGCCGTCTGGGACAATTTCAACTGTATTTTTGTTCTGTGTGTGGGGACCCATTTTGAAAAGTTTTGTAAGGAAATAGGATTAAGTGCTGTGTACTGTTATAGAAAAAGAAAGTTGTATTTTTCTTCTGGTTGCATAAATATCTTTAGTTATTTCATAAGAGTTTGTGCATGCTAGCCAACTGTCCCAAATTTTCTGGGACTGTCCCGGATTTGGCAGTCCAAAACGCAAAAGGACATTTTAGCGCCCCACACCTGAACTAGTCCCACTTGATGTCATTTTTTGTTCTTTGTTGCATATACTGGTATCGTAACGTTGGATGTCCCTGATTGTTTTGAAAAAAGTTTGCCAGCCTGGTGTATGCTCCGTGTTTGTTTCAGCAGCCAACCTGGCGTCCCGTGCGACGGTGGCCAGCAGCATCTACACGGCCTCGGTGGGCGTCCAGTCCCAGATGTCCGGGGGTAGCGGGGGCTCGGGGGGTCTCAGCGCCGTGCCCGTCTCTAACCCCAGCTCCTCCCCGCGACCCAGCATTCTCAGGAAGCGCACCAGTGAAGCGTAAGTTCTCCTGCCTTCTTCTTAAAGCAAGGGTATAATAATGTTCATAATAATGATGATAATAATGTATTAGTGCAGTAGTCTCCCCCTAAGATCTTGGTGCTCAGGAGCAAGGTAAATGCGGGATCTTAGGCGGACCAGGATCCTAGCCGAAGAACCCAGGGAAGAATCTATGGTGACCCATGTTAAGGCCCATAATCTGTAAAATGGTCTCCCTCCACCCTAAAATGAACTGACGTGCCCCCTTGGGTGGGTTTATGACATATGACGAGCAAAGAGTGGTTAACCTTGATGACCTATCACAGTGCAAAGCGGCATGAGACTGTTCTATCGTGACTTTCAAGATCTACGCTTATCCAGTTCCCCGTCCCCTTTACCTGTCGAAAATTCGAAAAATCATAGCTTTCCTTCTCTGACCAAGTTTTCTTGCCTCTGTCGTTACGCACCATTAATTTGTGACCTCATAAATTAAAATTCAGTCTGTCTCGCAAACATTGGAATAGAGAAAACTGCTGTAATGGTTAGGGAAGAGTTCACAGCTCGATGTGATCGCGTGTGGAGGGAAGTGATGTAAGTTTAGGAGGAGAGCTCGGGTGCCAGTGCGCTGTTTGGGGAAAACAAACGCGTCGGACAGTTCACACATCAGTGTGATCCCGTCTGGGGCAAACTTTGTACCGCCTCATCGAGTTTTATAACGCGCTTATGGGATCACATTCACGAGAGTGGCTCATCTTTGACGCTACAGGCAGTTAATTGATCTCAACTTCCACTCTTGTTTGATCGGCTGTGCCCGCTCGTGTGTTTTGTTCCGTAAATTATGATCAGAAATGCGGAATCTTAGCCGAATGTAGACCTTCAGAGTGGATCAGAGCGGGATCTTAGGGGTGACTTTTGTATAGTAAAAATTCTGTTTTCTTAAAACAGTGGGATCTTAAGCGAACCGGGATGGTAAGCGGCAGGATCTTAGGCGGAGACTACTGTAAAAATAATATTAATAATAATTGCATTTATATAGCGCATAACCACACTCTACAGCATGTTCTGTGGGGACTTTACAACAGTTATGACCCAGCACATTGTAGAATGCTCAGAAATATTCTTGGTTTCCCGGGAAGCACACAGTGCAAGCTGCGGATAGCACGCGCTCAGACACTGACAAGATCTTTCACTGTCTATAGCCAGCTGCCCATTTCACCTGGGTTAAGTGAGAAATTGAGTAAAGTGCTTTTCCCGAAGACACAAAACATGGCCCCTGATGGAATTCAAACCCATGACCTTATGGTTACTAGTCTGAGAGCCTATCCACAAGACCACCGACACCTCTACGTGTCAGACACAACAAGATCCTTTTTTTTTCTTCTCTTTCTCACCAAAAAAAGATCATTTTTAAAATCAAGCGAAACACTACCATAATATTACAAAATCTTTCCCTGTTTATGGCCGAGTGCCCATTCACACTGTCTCCGCGGGTGATCAGCAAGTGCTCTGGTGTGGTTTGCTCCTTCTTTCTTATTGTCGTGATCTCTCTTTTTTTGTGTTTGTGTGTGTACCGCCTCTAATCTTCAGCACTTATATGACAGTACTGTGTTGCAAGTGCTGTAAAACTCTTACGTGGGTGGTTGGCGAGTGCTCTGGTGTGGTTTGCTCCTTCTTTCCTATCAAACAACTATTGTCTTTATCTTATCTTTCCTCCTTTTTTGTGTATCAAACACCTATCGTCCTTATCTTTCCTCCTCCTTTTTTGTGTGTGTTACTCTCTTGTAACATCCATTCTTCGGCTCTAATATGACCTTATTGTGTTGCAAGTGCTGTAATACGCTGACTAAAACTTAAAAAAATCTCAACTGTAATTGTAATGTGCCTTGTTGCTTCTCCCCCCCCCCCCCCCCCCAGGGCAGTGCTACTGACAAGTGTCTTAAGGCCATTCCCAAAGGGGGGATGTTAACATGTTCTTATTCACAGTAGAATTGTAAATGGGCTGATTTATTAGTGTCATGTTCATACTGTGCCGGAACATTGGGGGGGGGGGGGCTGCTGCTGCTTCTATTTCTTTCCTCATCCTTACTATCGTCATTTTACCTCTACTTCTTTTGTATGTTTATCATTCTCTTGTGACCTGCTGTTTCCGGAGTGCCTTGATAGTAGAAGCAGACTTTGTGCTGTTGAAGCTAGAGAGGTGAGCTGAGTAAGCCCGATCCCCGTTTGGACTTCACCCCTTGGTGCTCATATGACCTTATGCTGTTGCAAGCGCCGTAAAACCTTACTAAAACAACAAACGAACATTCTGAGAGATGATGATAAAAACTCACATTAGCTTGTTGCGATGTAGAACAGCTAAAACTTAATTTTTTGAGATTTGAATGCAAATGGTGATCGGGGATTCTGTTGAAACGGGATGCAGTTTTTCTATTTTTTCCTGTTATTTTTATCAGAAGAACAGTGATTATGTTAAATATTTGTTTTCTGTTTAACTCATATTAGTTGTGTTTATTTACGGTCTTTTATTTGCAAATGCAACTTTGTAAATACGATGGTTGTAGGGCGCCACTAGAAAGTCCTACTTCTTTACTTTCTCTCTATTGTTTCTGTCTGTCTGTCTGTCTTACTCTTTTCTCGCATTAAATGACTATAATTATTTTGTCGAATTGTTTCTCTTTACTCAAACCAACCAACAAACTTTCTAAATTTTCAGGTATTCTTAAACAAAATGCTAGTGGTTCACCCTGTAGAAAGTCTATTTGACACAATTTTGCTTTCAACAATACTTCCATGGGGTTTTTTGTAGGACATTTAGAATTTGAATTTCAACCAAATATATATTTTTTGAGCTTGTAGTCAATAACACAAATTAACAAATATAAAAAAAACAGCAACAGAAATATAATTTGGGGGTCAAGTACATCTGAACAGCTGGCAAACGTGCTGTGGGTGGTTGGTGGGTGCTCTAGTTTGATTTGCTCCTTCTTTCCTGTCAAACATCTATCGTCCTTATCTCTCCTGTTCCTTTTTTATGTTATTGTCTTGTAACACATCTATTCTTCGGCACTTATAATACCTTGTGTTGCAAGTGCTGTAAAACTCTTCCTAAAAATAAAAACGTTGTGCTGTTGCGGGTGTAAATCATTAGTAACAATCCTTTCCTCCCTCCAGAAATTTTTCCCCAATGAGCGAGAACAGTCAGTCCTCGACGGACACGGCTCTCTCGTCGAATGACGCCACGACGCCCACACACAACCACAATGAGAAAGGGAAAGGAGAAGGGGACGAGTGTCTGGAAAATGGTACGTCTGGTATGATTGGCATTTTTCAAAAGCTCTAAGGCCTGCTGACAGCGGCTCGGGCACCTTCCATACCTGCCAACCCTACAGAAAAAATCGTTATATTACCGACTTTTTGGTCAAACTGCCGATCCACCGATTTTGAGATATAAGCCACCGACAAGTGCCCCTCATGTCTGCTGTATTGCTGTAAAATTTCAGATCTTTGTGTGTAGTAGGCCTCCACTTTACGTACCAATTTAAAATTACTTCCCATCCATTGATAACACACTAGAGCTGGAAACTAGATCAGGGACCCAACACGCGAGTTGCCTGCACGCAAGAGGCGCGTGATCGCAAGGCGGCATGTGATTGACTGCCTAAAACCAGAGGGTTTTACAGTAATTCAATGTTAAAACTGCTAGAACTAAACAGGTTACTAATGACGTCATTGCGGGTTTTCCCGATACTGCTTTGCTAAGGTGCAGAGGGGTGATCGGCCACAGTTCAAGAAATGTCCCACTTCTTGGAAATGTTTTCCTATAAAGTCCCCCAAAATTTTGAAACAACAAATCCCAATGACTTTTTAATTTATGAATGGATTTTTTAAATTTAAAAACCACAATTCGAAGAATTCATTCTTCTTTCATTAAAGCTGGGTAAAAATTTAATTTTTCATTGTCCTTGCTAATTTTTATTTTTTGTTCTTTGTCAATTTCTACATTTGTTTGAAGTCGCAAACACACTCATGTATGTGTGGGTCAAAATATTGATAAGGGTCCCCAATTAAGTATGCAGCAAGTGGTAATATAGCCTACTACAGATTTTTTAGGTCAACTACAGATTTTTTGACAAAAATTTGTGTCAACTACAGATTTTGGTCCAGGTAATGTTGGCAGGTATGACATTCCTTTATGACGACTTTGACTCAAATTACTTTTCGATAATTGCCGAAAACAGGTCTATTTTACCGGGAGTTCATTCATTAGATGAAGCACTATCAAAATAGGTTTGCTAGTTTCGATTTTATGACCCATTTTATGACGTTTTTGTCATTTTTAGATTTTGCACCAAAAAAAGGCCCAGGTGTAGTGGGTTCCCCCCTCGGAAATAAAGCGTTAAACATATTTTTTGTTGTGTTGTGGACTTATTTTATACTGAATTTTACATTTAAAAAACCTGTATTTCTGTTAGAATTGTCTGTCATGTTTTTAAAAAAAGGGTCTGGGTTTGTTGAGTTGCAGATGATTTAAATTTTACCTACTTCATGTGTTGACAGTTTCCTCAGTGCTTGATGTTTGAGAAAGGGATGTACCCTCTTGGATGTTTCTGGACTTAAAAAGATGTTTCTACCACCATAGTAAGCCTTTTTGTTTCAGGAGGGCTGATTGTCTTGATAAATCCAGAAATCTGTAGTTGTAGAATTAATCGCTCATTGCACCATACAGTATAAAAAATGGTCCTGATATGAGGTGAATTAGACAGCATGATTTGTAAATATTTTAAGTTCCCATGCACGCATTTCCATGTGGCCTGAAAGACTCTGGATGTTTTTTTATTGTTGGTTGGCATCTCTATTTTATTGGGGGGTTTTTTGTTCACTTTCCAGGCCCAACGTCGAGCACTTCTCTCACCAACAACATCCCCGCATCACCCGCTGTCAGCCATACAGGAAGTCTTTCAGAAGCCTCGCCACGGAAACGAGCGAGAAAGCAATTGTTGTAAGTAAGAGGGGAACAGAACCTCGTTTCTGACTGATGATTTCATTCTTTTGTTCAGTGTTGTTATGTTGTGAACCTCGAAGATAAAACTTTCCAACTGCTGCTTTTTCTTTCCTCATCCTCACTATCGTTATTTTTTTCTCATCCTTACTATCGTCATTTCCTCTACTTTTGTATGTTTGTCACTCTCCTGTGAACTGCTATTTCCGGGGTGCCTTAATAGTCAAAGCAGACTTTGTGCTGTTTAGGCTAGAGATGTGAGCAGAGTAAGCCTGATTCCCTGTTTGGTCTTCTGTGGTGACATTCACCCCTTGGCGCTCATGTGACCATATGCAGTTACGAGCCTCGTGAAACTTCTTCTAAAACTGTCCATGATGTGCTTGGTGTTTGCTCCATTCGGGACTTGGTGAAGGGTTGGAGGTGAGGCTGGGCTGGGCTTATAACTTGAGTCTGGAACTGGACAGGCAAATATAATTACTGTCTCTTCTCTTTAACTGTTCAGACCAGGCTTGGAATTTAAAGATTGCTTTATGCTCTGTGCCGTTCCTTCCCTCCATCTCCTGTCTACCTCCCTCTTTTCTCCCCTCTCTCTCCCTGTTTCCCTCTCCTTCTCTTCCTCTCCCTATCTCCCTGTTCCCCTCCTTCCATGAATGAACTGGACAGAGTTGGTGAGAGAGACACCCCCACTGATGAGAACTCACCCAGGTGTAGCCCTGTGGTAAGCAAGTGCTCCCCCCACTTAGCTCTCCCTGTTAGTGAAGGGGCCCGATTGAATGAGAGTGAATTGAGTGAGTTAGCAGAGTTCAGCCAGCACTCAGCCAGCACTCAGCCACAATGGCCCAGCCACCCTGGGACAGGGACATTCACTCGTATGCCAAACCTTTCTTCTGGGACACCGCCAGCTTTACAGACAGCAGAAGACAGGGGACAGGGGAGTATGTGTGACCTTTGGCATTTCCTGGAGTGTGTTGCTGTTTACTTGGGTCATAGTGAGACATGACATCATCATCGTCAAAAGACTAAATGATTATTGTTATTCATATGATGATGTTTACTGTGCAATGTAGCAATGCCCACCGAGCGCGTTTTGTTCTGCCGATTTTTGGCCCCCGCAGCGGGGGTGTTTCGTGGGACGCACTAACGCAAAGGTTGTTGTCTTCAACTCGCTCTCACGCCGCTTCTCGTGAATGGATATGAATGAAACTTGGCAGCCAATCAGAAAAGTGGTCAATCTCGTAGTATGCAGTTTGACAACATTGTACCCATCCAAGAAGTAGTCGAAAACGTTTGCAAAAGTGGTTGATGTGGTGCGCTTATATTTTTCTCTTCGTATTGAAATTTTTCTGTTGCAGTAATGTACAATGTAAGTTTTATGTATGTGTCGACACAGGTTTCATCCCATTCTTGTAAAGCCAAGAAAATTTCGACACAAGGAGTCTAAAGTATTGTCTTATCTCTTAATTTTTGTGTTGCTAAGGGAGGAGTTCTGCAGAGGACAAGGTCCACTGAGCAAACAATACAAGAATTGGTTAGGGTTGTGTGTTGTTGGTCGGCTGGCCCTCTGCGGATCTCCTTCCGTTGCTAAGATGTAATAATGTGTATTATCTTACCTCTGAATTTAAGGTCCTAAGATGTAATTATGTGTTCATGAGATGTAATATTGTTTCCTCCAGACATGCAAATGAAGAGCTTAAAGACAATGTGTCTTCGTCTGATGAGGAGCTGGACAACAGCACGACGCCGCACCGCGGCAGGGAGGAGGCCGTGCGGGAACACAGCAACAAACAGAAGGAAGTCAAAGGAGGTGAGGGGCGCATGGCTGCTGTGGATGATCTATCTCCCTCCCACCTTCCCTCTTTCTCTCTCTCTCTCTCTCTCTCTCTCTCTCTCTCTCTCTCTCTCTCTCTCTCTCTCTCTCTCTCTCTCTCTCTCTCTCTCTCTCTCTCTCTCTCTCTCTCTCTCCCTCTCTCTCTTTCTCTATCTCTCCTCTCTCTCTCTTTCTCTCTCTCAACCCCATTTGAAGTACGCAGGCTCTAGTTGCTTAAAATAGTAACAATTGTTTTTGATATTATTATTATTATTGATAATGATAATAATGCGATTAAAATCGGTTTTCTCCCAGAATTCACAGACGAGGATGGCGTGCGGTGGGTGGCCAACAAACCAAAGCCGACGTACGTCCTCATCCAGCCCGACTGCATCAACAGCAAGACCCGGCACAACCACTTCACCCGCTACTCCGACGTCAAACCCAAAGGTAAAACATTTCTGTCTCTAGCGCGACAGCTCCACCACAGCGGATAAAATACCGTCCAGACCGCTCACTTAGTTTTCCTTCCCCGGTTCCTCCCCGACCATCCTCACCACCCTGCCCGCCCCGCCCGACAGCCCAGCGCGTAGTCATAAATCACTTGTCAGAGGGGTTAATTGGGGTGACCGCAGCGCCACTCCTCCTGTGCCGGGGCAGTAGTAAATATGGCGTTTTAGTGCGAATTGAAAGCCTCCTAACTCTGAAACTATAAATGCTACAAGGCCGATTGAGATTTCATTGTAACGTGCTATGTTTGACCTGTAGGCCAGTATAACTTGTTTTCTTGTAAGTCCGATTATATCAGTTTTACAAGGGATTTAAGTAAGTCTGTGATTTTCAAACTGGCATCTTCAATGTTTAGAACTTTTTCAGTTTGGATTTAGATATTTCAATCCGGCCCCCAACGATTTAAACAGAAATTCATGTATCAACTGTGGTGACAATTTTCATTTACATGTGCAAGTTTCAAATGCACGAAGTTATTCTATGATTTTCTGTGAATTTTTAAAAATACCAACCCACCACTTTGAACATTCATCCTTGCTGTTTTTAGTTTTCTTGCCTCTACTACATCTGAATTTCGTTGTCATTTTTAACAATATTTTTGTCATGGAGTGCCACACTCAACGTGATCATATGGTGGGCATTGTGCTCAAACATCATCGCCTTCTTGAGGAGGCTGCACATGATATAGATGTACAGCTGGTCCATCAATCTATGGAGAATTGCACGCCTGGAATAGGACAAAATGTGCATATCTACGGCAAAAAATGAAAGAGGGCTGGAAAAAACCGAGGAGGACATTCAATTGTTACAGGGCTGTCAGATTTTGTCGGATAATCCACGAGAAGCAGAAAGATTTGAGAGGAAGGGTTTTAGTGTACATGATCAGCTGTCAGAGTTAGAGTTTGAGGAGCTTATTCCAAGGTCAAGTCCTGCCTGCTCTGAATTTGATAACATCCTCAAACAACACAACATCACACCACAGGCCTACCACAGCCGTTCATTTATAGGAAGCCACTGCCATAAATACATCACAGCCCATGTGTACAGACAGCTAGCATCTTTTTTAGCAAAAGGAACAGTTGCATGTACACGAAATCAAAGCATAATAGACACCGCATTAATTGTTCTGAGAGAGAAATTTGTTCACGTAAAAGACACCTTCAAAGATATCCACACAGTAATTGCACATGGAAAGCCAATCACTTTAGAGAGAATACCACATATTCAGTCATGCATCACACGATATATGTCTTTATACAGAAACATATTTGGCAAATAAAAGGTCTTGAGTCGATAGTGCCGTAAAACACGTGCTACTCAATCAAAATCGATCAAAAGAAAAGGTCATCCCCAAACAACACATCCTTGAGAAACACTGCGTTCCTTGGATACAAAAATGTGGGTTTGGAATGGCCTTCCATTGTGAGCAAGGGGGTGAGCTCATTCATGCAACCGTGGCCTAACAGACAAAGAAAAACACGTCAAAACAATCATGCAGTCACAACACGTCCAAACCCACCCTGAGCTACTCTGTCGTGTGAACCACCCATCAAAAGACGAAAGCTTACAGCGGAAAAATGAGATAATTCCTCCAGTCCAGCAATATTGTGTTCTTTTTGTATTTTGTGTTTAGGTTGTGTTTTCATAAGTGTATCGGCAAGAAAAGATCTGTCCTGTAGTTACATGTATCGTGGATATCGCTATGAAAAAACAAGGTCGCAAAGCAAGAGTATTGCAAAAATCAACTTCAAACCTGAATAATTACGGATCCAGAAACTTCGTGCATATGCCCCTTTGTCAGTACAAATTTCATTATGTTCTCAGTCCTGTGTGCAAATTTGATTGAATTCGTTGGGGGCAATCATATTTAAATCGATGTTTATAATTGATTACCCATGACACATTTATCAAATTAAGTCCCCTTTTTGAGAACTTCACAGCTTTTAAGTGTAATGTACCATGTTCTTCCGATTTCTTCATTTTCTTCCTTAATATGTTGAATATTTACGTGGTCTTTATTAAAATATTCATCTTACATTAGCTTTGGCTCACTGTGCTGGTAAACTTTGCAAAAAATACGAGAGCGCTGCCGGTGTTCGGCTGATTAGGGAAATCCCCGGCGGCGCAGGTAAATGACCCCGTGACCTGGGGAAGCGCGGGCGTGCTTGCCTCGCGCCAGCCGAAACTAAATGGGCGCTCTATAACCGCTGTGCCACACAAAGGACTTACTTACTTACTTACTATACCCATTACGTCATCTGGCGTTTAGGGCAGCAACAAAGGATCTCCAGTTCTGTCTGTTTTGGGCCATATTGGTCAGCGTTCCCCACGAATGATTCCAGGACTTCATTTCAGACTCAACTGTGCGTCTCTAGGTCACTTTGGGTCTGCCCCTTTTGCGACGTCCTTCGGGTGTCCAGTGGAGGGCAGTCTTCACAATAGAGTCTGGTTCTCTTCTTAGAACAAAGGAGAAAGAAACGTATTAATTACTCATAAATTAACCCTATCCATACGCCCTGGGGTCATTTTCTTCCCCCCGGGGTTGTATTTTCCTCACATTTTAGAATACTTCTAGTATGAAGATCTCTTTGAAACTTTCAGTATTTCTCAAGAAATAATTTTGGCAGACTGCTATGCAAATCGTACGGATCGGATTAACAAGCAAATTTTCTCTTTGGAAAGTGATGGCACCGAGTTCCCTATGGATAGTAAAACACAACGTATGGATAGGGTTAAAGAATTTTTTGCCTTATTTGTGGAACTTTATGATCTTTTCTTTATTTAGAGGTTGTGTTTGTGTGTGTGTTTGTTTGTTTGCGTATGTTTGTCTTTGTTCTTACTTTTTACTTCAAGTTGTGGGTGGTTGGCGGGTGCTCTGGTGTGGTTTGCTCCTTCTTTCCTATCAAACATCTATCGTCCTTATCTCCCCTTCTTCTTTTTTATGTTTGTTACTCTCCTGTAACACCTCTAATCTTCTGGTGCTCATATGACCATATACAGTTGCGAGTGCCGTAAAACTCTTACTAAAACTAACTTTCTTCAAGTTGCACAATGTTGCATGTATTTTCTTCTTACACTGTTAGATTACTGATCTAGATTTTTCACCCCAGTTCTTTCAAGAAATTATTTGACTGTCCTACGTAGTTTTTCATTTCCTCATGGAGTAATGCCAGGAAAATGTGTAATGTTTAGTTTGTGCTACACAGCGAACGTCCCATAATTGAATTATGTTCCTGAGAAATATTTTAAATGTAAAGATATTAAGACCCTTTTTGACATCGTAGAGCCTAGAAAAATTTTAAGTTATATAAAAGAATTTGGACTATTTAATAGAATATGAAAATATATAGTTATCGTTATCGGTGTGTATATACATACACTGACATTTATATGGTATATACAAATGTAAATAAGCCTTTTCCATAATTACCAAAACATTTTTATAAATGTTTGATCGTCTTTTTAGCATAATGAAAATAGTGTGACCGTGTGCGGTTGCGAGCTCTGAAAGACTCTTACTAAAAACACGTCTGATTTTGTAGCGGTGAAACCTGTTGGCGCTTAAATGACCAAAATTGTGTCGATAGTGCCGTAAAACATCTACCCAATCAATCAATCAATCAATCGTCCCAGAAGTGACCAAAATTTACCGTGCTCAGTTGCTCTAATTCTTCTGTTCAGAGGTTAAGCTCCAAGAGCAGTGTGGATTTGTATAGAGGGAAATAGAAAATACACATTATATTGATACCAAATTTGTGCAGGGTTCAGAGGAAGGGTTACTTGGCCAGTGCCCACCATCTTGCACCGTGTGGGTAGCCGGTTTTTTGTTTTTGAAAAGTTAGCAGCTGTGTGTGTGTGTGTATATATAATATATATATACAGTCAAACCTGCCCTGACGGCCACCTCTATAAGACGGCCACCTGTACAAACGGCCACTTTCCATTTCCCCCCTTGCATTTTTTCTATATAATTTAACTGTGTAAAACGGGCACCTGTCCCGCGGCCGCGGCCACAATATTTTAACACACAACCCCTATCACACTAAACAATAACACCTGTCTTAGACGGCCACCTTAGTGACTCCATTGCGTTTTGTCATAAATTGTGCTTTGGCCCCTGGCGTTGTGGGCGAGCCGTTATAATTCAATCACCTGTCGTTGTTGTTAGGTAGCCCCTCCAACCGATCATGTTGCGTAGGCCCCTCCCACTGTTGACCAATAGGTACCAATTTTCAGCTGCTGGTGAGGGAAGTGTGTGATCCCTCATAACCCATAAGCCCCGCCCAGAACTCATACACAAATCGTAAGTGAGATGAGTGGTCACTGTTTACCCAGTCTGTAACAAAGTAACAATGGGCGTCAACATGAACTTATGACAGAAGCGTCCCTCGTTCTCCGAGTGGTGGCGACCCATGTGTTTGTTTTACCCCAGCACTCAAGTCTTCCTTAAGTCTGATACATTTCGTTTTATTGTCACCCTTGTGCAAAAGCAGCAACAAAATGAAAACTACAAACGAAATACAAAGCAACAAAAGCAACAAAGACAACAACAATGGGTCTACTTTCGATTGGGGACTCAGATGGGAATGTTTTGTTTTCTTCATCTTGATCAGTCCTGCCTAAGACGGCCACCTGTCTTATACGGCCACTTTTCTCCTTGACAATGGGTGTATACACATATATACACATATATAGACACACACACACACAATATATACAATATATACACATATATACACACACACACAATATATATATACACATATATACACACACACACACACAATATATACACATATACACACACACACACACAATATATACACACACACACACACAATATGTACACATATATACACAATATATACAAGTTAATTGCTTCTGTGGAATCTGTTATGAAAGCTCTGGCTGGCCATTCAAGGGGATACTAATTTGTATCTTATGTATTTCTTTTGTCAGATGAGAGGAGACCGACAGTGAATGAGCTTTCCAATCAAAGAGGAATTATGCAGAAAGTGAACGGCTGGAAACTTTATTTCTCAGCCTCGCAGCTGGAGGAGTTGGTGAGTGTCGCAACAATACTGGCAAATTGTCGGCTAGCTGTTCAGATGTACTATGCCTAAAATTTATTTTAAAAAGACATTTCTGTTTCTTCATCAATGGTATCAGTTGCGCGTGTTCAAAAAATATTTAGCAGAAATTCGAATTCTAATTGTAAAGTACAGCAAGGAAATATGCATAATCCTGGTTAAATGGGAATTGCCTTGTTAGTGAGACAACTTCCTGGGCCTTTAGCATATTGTAGTAGGGTGGCCAGTTCCTTTCCACGCAGCCTTTACTTCCCCAACTAGAAGTCAGGTACCCGATAGTGCTGTAAAACATCTACCCAATCAATCAATCAATCAACCAAGTCAGGTACCCATTACTGCTGGGTGAGCAGGAGGGGGGCGAAAAAAATCTTTGTCCAAACCAAGGCTCGAACCCGGACTTTCCGCTTCAGAGCCGAGCGCACTAACCGCTCTGCCACCGCACCCCCATAATGCTGGTACCATTGTTAAAAGAATGAAAAAGTTTTTCTCTCTCTTGTGAAATTACATTTGAACAGCTTGCCAACGATTATTTATTTTTAAGTGAGGGGGATACACACCTGCTCAGCACTCTGATAATTTTGACTAAATTTGCATAGAATCCAATTGTTTTTCTTGAATTCCATTTGTCAGGTTGTATGCAACTTATTGTACCCCCTTACCAGGGCAGTGCTACTGACTAGAGTTGTCTTAAGTCCATTCCCCAAAGGGGGCATATTGACATGTTCTTATACACAATAGAATTGTAAATGGGCTGATTTATCAATGTCATGCTCATAACTGTGCCAAAATAGAAAGGAGGAACTGCTGCTTTTTCTTTCCTCATCAATACTATAGTCATTTTCTTCTACTTCTTTTATTTGTCTCTTTCTTGTGAACTGCTATTTCCGGAGTGCCTTGATTGTCGAAGCAGACTTTGTGCTGTTGAGGCTAGAGAGGTGAACTGAGTAAGCCTGATGTTCCCATAAGAACTTCTCTTTTGGTATCCACCCCTTGGCACTCATATGACCTTATGCAATTGCAAGCACCGTAAAATCCTACTTAAACTAAAACTTATCGTAATTGACATGAAAATATGTTTTTTTCTTCTAAACATAATTTTTTTAGGGATGATTCTGAAGAAATCTTTTTTTTTTGTTTTGGACATGGTATGCTTCTTGTTTTCTACAAACATCTATCGTCCATATTTCTCCTCCATTTTTTGTGTATTTTACTCTCTTGTAACACATCTATTCTTCGGTACTTGTATGACCTTATTGTGTTGCAAGTGTCGTAAAACTCTTCCAAAACTAAACAAAAAGACGACAGCTAACGGCGTGGTTGTGTCGACAGATGGAGGTGGAGAAGGACATGGAGGCCCAGTTTGCCGAGGTCCAGGCAGCGCTGTCCAAACTGCCCAGCCACAAGATCCCCGGTGAGGAGGCCGTCAAAATCCACGAAATGTCTCAGGTCAGTCTCACCCACCCACCCTCTTCTCTTTAACACTTTGCAGTCACACAGCCAGCAGTACAAAATACCCGATCTGGTTACCCAGCCAGGAGAGTGACTGCAACAGACATCTCGGGCCTACTGGAACGGATAATGTTCACTGTTGCATTATTGCGCCAAGTGACCACAACGTGTGAAAAGAAAACAGAGAATATATGTGTAAATGCTTAAGGCCCTCATCGACACAATTTAGATAATTTAAGGGGCGGTCTTCAACCATGCCCTGTCACTCTGTTGTCAGGCCAGCCAGCTGTTCTGAATTTTCTGGGACTTTGAGACTAGGAATTTGAGAGCTTTACCATATTTGTCACCACGTGTTGGAATCAGGCGCTCGTCAATTTTTCTGTTGGCGCTTAAATGACCAAAATTGTGTCGATAGTGCCGTAGAACATCTACTCAATCAATCGTCAATTTTTCGGCATGTGGAGTTATTGGTACCATCTGAAAGCTGGTTTATTTGCCTTGATTCCTATGTAATAACTCAAGATATTTGTGATTGAAGTAATTGAGGCAGCCTGAAAATACTCCATGAAAACAGAAAATGATATATTTTGTGCTTTTGACTCCTTGAATGTGTTAGGTTATAGGGCTTTGTTTTCCCTGGAAACGCAGGATTTTGCGACATTCTCAAAAAATCACCCAACAATAACCGTTGCATATTTGGCTGTGTAATTTCAAACAAAGCAAGATAATCATGTCCATGAAGAAAATAGACGTTATGTGGTAGCTCTCAGAGATTGAAATTTTGTAGCCGTTTGGGGTCAGAGGTGACTATTTCGTAGCTGTCAGAGGTGACTGTTTTGTAGCTGTCAGAGGTGACTATTTCGTAGCTGTCAGAGGTGACTGTTTCGTAGCTGTCAGAGGTGACTATTTCGTAGCTGTCAGAGGTGACTATTTCGTAGCTGTCAGAGGTGACTATTTCGTAGCTGCCAGAGGTCAGAGGTGACTGTTTCGTAGCTGCCAGAGGTCAGAGGTGACTGTTGTTTCTCTCCCCTCCTCCCACAGGCCAACATCCAGCGCTGCCAGCTGATCCAGAACCAGCTGACGGAGGCTCGCCTCTCCATGATCAAGACGCTGGAGCACAAGCCGCGCATACAGGAGATTGTCAACAAGCACATGAGCAAACGACCCATCAAGAAGAAGGAGAGGACATAACCCCGCCTCCCGGCCACACACACACACAGACCCACATCCTCCCCCGCCCCGCCACTCCCTCCTCTTTTCACCGGCCCCGCCCCCGCCACTACGCCGCCCTTCCTTCCACTCCCTCATATTTCCGCCACCCTTCCACAACCACACCCCCCACTTTCCTGTCACCGTGATGCCGTACTTCCATCTCTTCCACCTCGCCACTCCCCACTTTCTAGTCTCCCCTCCACACCCCCACTCTCCTGTCTCACCAACCTCACCCCGTTCCAGCTAAGAGGGCGTGGCTAGTCGTGTGATGTCGACAGGTCCCGCCCCTCGTCAGGATGCGGTGTGTCCTTTGCTGCTTCTTCTTTGCAGCACGGATGAAAAGGAAAAGGATGAGTTCGGATCTTCTTTGTGGCACGGATGAAAGGGATAATGGACAAGAGGGAGTGGCCCCCGAGTGTGAGGAATGGATGGTGTTTACCTCCCCTCCGGAGGTCGGTCGTTGTCTCGTGTGGACGGCCTGATCAACGCTTCTCTCCTGTCCTCCATCCATCCTCTACAACTTCCTCTTCCAAAAGGGAAAAAAAAAACCCTCTCTGGCTTTGTGGTGAAACAGAAAGTGTATGTTTGTTCACTGAATGTAGGTTTGGGTGTTACACATGTGTGTGTGTGTGTGTTTGTATACGGTGTGTGTGTGCGCTTGTTGTTAATGGTTGTATGTGTAATTTTGCTTTTCACTGATAACCGGTGCCTGTGTGTGTGTGTGTTGGTGCGTGAATGTGTGTGTGTGTTGGTGCGTGCGTGTGCGCTGGTAAGGCTCTACGCTGTTTTGCGCAGAAGTGAGTTTGAATCTAGTTGAGTGTGTAACGACGTGGGTGTGTTGATAGATGAGTATATTACGTTGTGTATATAATGAAAGTGTGTGTATAGACGAATGTGTAATTATGGTGGAGTGAGTAAAGAGTGAGTATTGATAATGATTGTGTATAGACAAGTGTGTAATGATGCTAGAGTGTCCATAGGCGGGCGCGTGTTATGAATGGCGTTGGTGCATGCGTGCTTGTGTGCGTGCCTGTGTGTGTGCGCGTGTGTGTGCGCGTGCCTGTGTGTGTGCGCGTGTTGGAGTGTGCCCCTGTACCCCTCATTCCTCTCCCTGCCAATAGGTGCACACATGACAGCAATGCAATGTTTATGCAATTTTTAACTTTGAGTATTTTAAGAAAGTCTGATGTATCTTCCTTTGTTCACTTCAATAAGAGCAAAGACGGTGAGTTATGATGATAAAAGTCGGCATTCTCTGAATCTCAGCTGGGTTTTTTTTATTGTGAGACGACGGCACGGGAATGACTGAGCTGTGTGTGTTTTCTCAACAACCGTCGTGTGTGGGAGCTTGGTCCCGACACCGCCACACGAAATAGTTTAGGGGGAAAAGCTGAGGCAAGCTGTTTGATTTGCCCTCCTTGACAGACACGACTAGCAATTTTCTCATTGATATTAAAAGACTACCGACCGGGACAGCGTTTGTTTGTGTCTGTGATGGGTCGATCAAGGCGTGAAACACGGACAATTTTATCCAAGTGGTGGAGAGTCAGGAGGGTTCTCGTCAAAAATGTTGTGTGGGACAGGACTGTCCTTTTATCTTCTGCCCCCCCCATCCCCGGGTTGGTTGGTTGGACTCTAGCATTTATCATAGGATGCAGAACTATGTACCCTGAGTAGGGTACAGGAAAACCCTGAGTAGGGTACAACAACTGAATGTTCAGAAATTGTGAAGGGAGGCAGTGAGAAAGTCTGCACAATGGAAAACTTTGTGTGTCCCTTTGACTTTATGTAGATTGTTGACTGTTTTTTTAAAATAGGTGTGCAGTGTGGGTTCTGAGAGCGAAGGGTTAGTGAATTTGTTAAATCTTGTGGTACGTTTCCCCATGAGTGACCGCCATCATAGACTGGTGTACCCTACCACTTGATTAGCGAAGTTAACTTCACGCAAGTCTGTCCATTGGGGAATGCTTTTTGGACCAATTTTTTCTTTGCTGTGCAAAAGTAGGAAATGGTTCATGCCTCCCCTCCCAGAGCATGGGAAAGACACAGGTCTTGTCACACAAAGACCTTCCTTCCAGCTGATCAAACGGTGACACAGGGAAGTGATACGCAGGTTATGCTTCTCGAATCTTCCCAGTTCTTGGACCCCCCCGGTCAACATTCTCAGTATTACAGTTTCCATGTCCTTCACACGCTGTTCAAATGTCCTCAGCCCAGAGAGCAAAATTTGGGTTAGGAGAAAGGTTTTAAAAATATTTTTAGTGTTTTACGGCACCTGCAACACAAGAAGGTCATATTAGTGCCGAAGGTTAGGAGAAAGGGAAAATTGTTTCATTTCGTAACACTGCATTATGTTTAAAAAAATTTCTGCCTTGCCTTTTTTTTTTTCAATGCCTCGAATCTTGACTCTCAACAAAATATTTCTGGAGTGCATGCAGCTGATACTACTGATTATGACACGGCAATTTAAAAAAGTTATAATTTTGGGCTTAGTATATTTGAACGGCTGGCCGAAGGTATACGCACACATGTGGGTTTTTTGCTTTAAAAAAATATGTTTATTGCAGTTTTCTGCTACAGTTTACAGCGGGGTAAAATTGTCTTGAGGGGGGGTCATCAATAATTTATTTATAGAGGCATAAGCCACCCATGTCCAGGTGCTGTTTTTTGCCAATTTGAGGGGGTGCATGAAAATGGATGAGCATTGCATCTATATATTTGTATTGTTATATTGAATGTGGTGTCTTTTGGGCTCTTTCTTCCAGGAGATTTACGAGTAGGAGAATGTTGAACAGTCGGTGAACATGATTATATTATTGGATGTTGGTGTAGTGCGAGTTGGAGAATGATGAACAATAATTTATTGGTGAACATAATGGTCTAATGCTCAAGCAAAGCCCCAGTGCGTCTGTATGTTTTCTGCCAGCTGACTTAGAAAAAAAAGGATTACAATTACAGTTCAAACAACCCCTTCGCCCCTCCCCGTCTCAAGTCTATTTTCCTACAGATTTACAAGAGCCAGAGATATTGTGTGCGTGTTTGTCGTTGTACTGTTTGTGCGCCCGGCCTGCTCCATGTTGATGATGATGATACAATGCTATTTGCTTATTGTAAATTTATAGTATTTTGTTTTTGGTGGGTATTATAAAATGATTCTTGTATATTTGAACATTTCTTTTCTTTGTTTTATTTTGTAACCACCAAAAAACACCATGAAAGTTGTCTTGACTTCCATTGAAGTCAAACCCAGTGTTATGTCAGATATCCATGAGAATGCTAAGATATGTTTTCACATGAATAAATTCATGAAATTATAACATAGACTACTTCTTTCTTGAAGTGATTTGCTCTTTAAGTTTTATGGGAGGTAGTGGGCAACATTTTGTGTCGATTTTGGGGCAAGTTAGGTCAAAAGGATCTGATTTTGAAGTCGTGTTTTTTAACAAATTGTAGTAGAAATGATTCCCAATACAGCGGAACTCTGATTCAACGAAGTCGTCAGGCCTGGCCTTCAATCTCGGTGAATCTAAGTGTTCGTTATAGCAAACATGAAGATTTTGTGTAGATAATCACAAACATTGAGCAAGTAATGTAGGCCTACATGTGTAATGTATCCGACTTTCTCTATAGATCAAAAGTAGTTTGGTTTTAAATAAGAGGCATTTTCGTTGAAAATGGTATAGGCTTAACGCCCCTATCAACACTATTAGGTTATTTAAGAGGCGGAGGCATTTTCGTGGGGGATTTTTTTATATGAAAAAATTGCTGGAAAATTCCAGGAAAATGCACTGAACTCAGCCAAGCACACACTGTGCAAAAGGGCCGATTTGTTCAAATGCATGTCTGTGTCATCTATCATCTATAACGTATTGTTTGCCTAACAAGTTATGTTGCTGTACAGAGCCTAGCATACAGCAACATTGGATTGCACAGTCCAATTGGCGCGCAATTCATATCGCTCGCCGCGTGATTCAACTGCCTAAGTGACAAAATTTAGGAAAATCACTATTTTATCCCTTTATGTAGTACAGCCTTTGATACACCTTATGTTAAAATCCCGAGTTTGAGAGATTACTGGAAAGTGTTTCAATCTTTCAGTAAATCAATCGCCTATATCACGTCCCCAATTTCCACGGATTCAAATGCCAGTTTTTCACTGTAGTGTCTTTAGGTCATTTCCAAAGGGGGGACCTTTTTCGTTCAAGCATAGTAGAATTGTAAATGGGCTGATTCATGTCACGCTCATAACTGCCTGATCTACAACAGGGAACTGCTACTTTTTCTTTCCTGATCCTTACTATTGTCATTTTTCCTCTACTTCTTTTGTATGTTTGTCACTCTCTTGTGACCTGCTATTTTGGGGTACCTTGATAGTCGAAGCAGACCTTGTGCTGTTGAAGCTAGAGAGGTGAGCAGTCTAAGTCTGATTCCCCGTAAAGACTTCTCTGTTGACACCCACCCCTTGGCGCTCATATGACCTTATGCAGTTGTGAGCGTCGTAAAACCTACTATATTTTTTTTAAAGCCTTTTGGCGAATGGGCGGGTTGAATCACACAGATTCTGCTGCTTGTTGGGGTGTTCACCTCATCCCTAATATTTTTAAGCTTATCCAAAATATTTTTAAGCTCATCCCAGTATTTTTTAGCTGATCCTTAACATTTTCTAGCTCATCTCCAGTATTTTTTTTTATAGTTCATATCTAATATTTTTAGCTAATTCTCAATATTGTCTAGCTCATCCGTAATATTGTTTGGCTCTTCCCCAGTATTTTCTACTTCATCCCTAATATTTCATAGTTCATCCGAATATATTTTCTAGCTCCATCCCCAGTATTTTCTAGCCAATCCTCAGCGTATTTTTACCTCATCCCTATTTTATAACTCATCCCTTATATTTTCTAGTTCATCCCTAGTACTTTCTAGTTCATCCCTAGTACTTTCTAGTTCATCCCTAGTACTTTCTAGCTCATCCGTAATATTTTGTAGCTCATCCACAGTATTTTTTAGCTCATCCCTAATATTTTCTAGCTCATCCCAAGTAATTCATAGCTCATCCCCAGTATTTTAAGCTCATCATTAATATTTACTAACTAATCCCTAATATTTTCTTTCTTTTCTTTCTGATCCCGAATTTTCCCCACTATTTATTAGCTCATTCCTATTTTTTCTAACTCGTCCCTAATATTCTTTAGCTCACCCCTTTTTGTTTTCTAGCTCAACTCTAATAAATTCTAGCTCATCCCCAGTATTTCTAGCTCATCCTCTGTGTTCACATGTATTTATTTTCAAGCTCGTCCCCTATATTTGGTAGATCCACCCCCAGTATTTTCTACTTCCAGCCAAAACGTTCCTCTGTATTTTGTTGCTCATCACAGATGTTCCCCAGTATTTTCTAGCTGTTCTCATCCTGAATATTCCCCACTATTTTCTGTCTCTGTAACCATTATTTTCTAGTCCCTCCCAAATATTGACAACTAGCTCCATCCCCAGTATTTTCTTGCTCCATGCTCAGTGTTTTCTAACTCATCCCCAATATTCCCCAGTATTTTCAAGCTCATCCACAGTATTTTCTAAGGTAGACCTGATATTTTCTAGCCCATCCCAAATATTTTCTAGCTCATCCCTAATATTTTCTAGCTTATCCCGAATATTCTCTTGCTCATCCCCAGTATTTTCTAGCTCATTTCTAATACATATTTTAGCTGATCACAAATATTTTCTACTTCATCCCTAATATTTTCTAGCTGGTCACGAATATTTTCAAGCTCATCCCCAGTATTTTCTAGCTCCTCCGTAATATTTTCTGGTTCCACATTATTTTTTTAGCTCATCCTTAATATTTTCTAGCTCATCCCCAGTATTTTCTAGCTCATGTCTAATATTTTAAGCTAGTGTCTACTAATATTTTTAGCTCATTCCCAGTGCTTTCTAGCTCATCCGTAATATTTATCTCTTTTATAGCATTTTCTACTTCATTACATGTACTATTTTCTAGCTCATCCGAATATATTTTCTAGTTCCAGCCCCAGTGTTCCCCAGTATTTTGTAGCTCATCCTGAATATTCCCCACTATTTTCTATCTCCTTCCCTAGTATTTTTTAGTTAATCCAGAATATTCACCACTATTTTCTAGCTCCATCCCCAGTATTTTCTTGCTCCATACCCAGTATTTTCTAACTCACCGCCAATATTCCCCAGTATTTTCTAGCTCATACCCAACATTTTCAACCCCATCCCCAGTATTTTCTAGCCGTACCCAA